TGCAGCGAAGGCTCAGGGTGGCAAATGCCAGCATCCCAGCACACCTGGAGCTGCAGCCCTAAGCCATATACGTGTACAAGCGCCCCTGGTGCCTGGGCTTCCCTGGCATTGCAGAGCCCGGGACTTGGAGCTGAACATCCCAATAGCGGGTAACGAGGACCCTGGGTGCCCTGGGTGGGGGGTGCCCAGCACTTACCTCCTCAGCTAGGGGTCTCCGTGCTGGGGCAGTGTGGGCTCCCAGGGGCCAGGCCTGTACCCCGCTCTCCGCACCAATGCAAACAGGCTGCAGAGGTGTGGCCGGAGAAGCAGAACCCTCCACCGCTGGCACAGCGTCGGGGCGAGGGCATTTCTCAGAGGGCAGGGAGAGGTGATGGGCAGACTGCTAAGCCAGAGGCCAGGGCTGGAGTCCGCGGGACACCGAAGGGAGCCCAAAAGCTCTGGCTTCACCCCACAGGCTGCTTGAGAGAGGACAGGCTTTTCTGAGCTAGCCCAGAGCACTTGGAAACCCTGGCGGGACCCCCCAGAGCTGCCCGCTGGTCTCAGCGGGAACATGCCCACATGCCACAGTGCTGAGAGAAAACCTGCTCGTTGCCCAAGATCTGCAGCTGGACCCTCCTCTTTGCACAGCAGCCTTCTCCCCCTCCAATGGGCCATTTGCCCTCACCGGGAACAGGGGTGGGAAAGGGGCCACGTCTACCCTGATTTACAGTGGTCACCCCCGGATCACCGCGCTGGCAGCCGCGTGCCATCTGGCTCGGCTACCTACCCGCTGCCTTCCCGGCCTGGTTTCGCGGTCGCGGGCCGTGCCCGTGGGGAATCTCCTTGCTAGGCTCTAGCCCCCAGTGCATCCCTTCCCCACCTGCGGATGGAGGGGGAAGCCTCCCCTAGCCCTTTGCTGGCTGATACTTTAACACGGTGCAAAAAGAATGATTTAAAAATGACAAGGGGAAGAAATAAGCAGCCTCCAGACCCGACCTCATCCCAACCCCAAAGGGCTACTGTCCCTAGGAGGCACGTTTCAGCACCCGCGGGGGCCTCTGCGTGTCCTGAGCTAGCCGAAGCGGTGGAAGAGCCCAGGAGCTCCTCACCCTGCGGCTCTCCTGCTGCAGCCTCACCTCCTCCCAGGAGGGAACCAGGCCTGTGTTTTAATGGGCTCAAAATGATCCTTCCTTCCCCCTCGAACGCATGAGCACGGCAGACTTCAAACAGGATTCTTCTCGCCCGGGAGGCCTCAGTCTCTCCTTCCCCCGATTACGTCTCCTGTTTAACAAGGGCATAGCTGCATTCAGCAGCCTTTGATATTTTATAGGCACAGTTCCAGGAGAGACCAGTCTGCTTGCAGACCCAGTGGTCATTAGCTGCTTTGCATTATAAAATTACAGCTCCGCGGCAAGCACTGGTTTCGTTAGCTCGCTGGGGAGATAAGGCCAACTTGCTTTTGCTGTGGGCTCTTTCTCCTTTTGTCCTGTGCTTCAGAAGCTCCCCTATCCTTATCGCCTGCCCTAACTGGCCTGCTGCAGACTTGTCCAGTTTGAACCGTCATCTGCCGTGCCGAAGGATATAGCTTCAAGCAGCCCCGGCTGCCAGCTAGAGTCCTAGATCAGGACTATTACCCACACCGATAGATAGCTCCAAGCTTACTGGGCTAACAGCACTAAGAACCTTTTGTAAATGGAAAGGTCTTCAGCTCGCCTGCACGTCACGGGACGGAAATGCCTGCCAAGCACAACCTGGCTGAAACCAATACGCCTGCCTATGGACACGGCATTGCACAGCGTGGCACGCGTGCCTCTGGCATGGCAAACCGACGGGCAAGTGGAGGCACAAGGCTGTGGTCCCAGGTGCCACCTTCCCCCTCCCCACCATGAGATAGGTCGGAGATAAAAAGGGTGGCAGGATCCTCCAGCAAAAGCTTTCACGCATCTGATGAAGCGAACTCTAGTTCACGAAAGCTTGGGCTCTCTCTAGATCTATAAAAGGGGCAGATCTCCCCTGCCTTCAGGCTTACATGGTGAACTACCTCTTGCTGCTCAAGCAAAAGCTACCAATGGGGTTAAAAGACATGTGTGTGCATGCACACATGCCTGTGTGTGTCTATATGCAGGGATTGGGCAGCCGCAAGTCCCGAGACCCCTTGTAGCTGCTATGTGAATGAGCACGAGACCCCAGCTGTTACGGTGATGGCTCCTGGCATAACACACTGTCCTTGATTTTAAAGCAATGGCAATGATTAGACTCACTGCCTCACCCTACAGATCAGCAGCGGTGTCTCCGGAGTGGCCTTCGGTCCCAGGGTGAAGAGAGGATGGCAGGGAAAGGCACCAGGCTCTGGGCCGTACTGCCAGGCAGGGAGTGGTTTACCAGGAGAAGGTGCCAGGCTGGCAAAGCGGAGCATGCCACGACCTCTGTAGCCAGCTCACGCTCCCTTGGACTGCAAAGACTGCAACGTATGTGAGCAACAGGATCGCACGTGGGCGCCTAAATCCACTCAGATGCCCAAGAGGCAGGGCCGGAGCGGGTCCTTTAAGTCTGGGATGGAGTCAGCAAAAGCATCCCTATATTCACAGCCTGCCACACATTTAGGGAGCCCTGAATACCCGGAGGGGTCTAGACGGTGCATCACTGTGGAATTACAGGCCAGAGGGTGAGCGCTGGGCCAGGGTTTGCTTACGACTCTCATAGTTTTCATGCATTGAAACCTTTGGTCCTTCAACAGCACGGTCAGACTGGAAGGGACTTCCCGGAGGTCATCGAGGCCAACCGCCCATCAGAGGCAGGATCAACTCTATCCAAACCGTCGTATGCAAATCCACGGTCCAGCTGAGCAATAAAATGACCCAGTCCACCCTGATACAACCACAGGACACCTAACTAGTCCCCTCCTGGGGGAAGGGGTTGGAAGAGTAAGGGCAGCTCAAGGTCTTTGTCACCGGCGACTTATATTATCGGGGGCGGAAAAGGTGGTTTTCCCATCTGAAAGTGCTGGGTCAGCTTCTACCTCAGTGCCTAAACCCCTTGGCAAGCCCGTCCCTAAATCCCGCAGCCAGGAGCCGCTTTGGGTAAAGAGAAGGCAGCAGGCCCAGAGGTAGCCGGGCGTGATGAGCCGTGGGTTTGATGCACTGGGGAGGTTTGTTCCCTGCTGTCCGGAGCGACTGGCATTTGTGGCCAGCTGGTTTGCTGCAGTCTGAAGGTGGGGTGGGAAAAATATATACTCTAGTCCCTGCCCCCTTCACTCAGAGCCTTCCCAGGGGCTGCGGGGCCTGGCCGAGGGAGAGGGGAGTTAGGCGCCTGCCTTCCCCGGCGGACCATGCAGGCTGAGGCTCACGGTCTACGTCGGCCCAGCTCTTGTGCTTCCACCACGTCCTTATTATGTGCGTCGCTGCCCGCTCGCCTCTACCCTGCAGAGCCTTGATGGGGGCAGCCAGGCACACACACGTGTGTGGTGGGGCTGGCGTCCTGACGTGCATTAAGGAAAGCACGTAACTTCACCCCAAAACAGGACAAGGGATGCCCCGGATCCTGCCCCTTGCCCCTGCAGGTGCCTGGCTCTGATATCAAGGATGCCGGCTTACCCTGGGCTGACTCCACGTGCTAAACGCCGTAACCCAGGGAGGGCAAAGCCCCGGAGGAAGGCGCTCGAGTGAGCTGGGGTGCAGGGATCAGGTCCTAATCCCTACGCCCAGAACTCAAAGCAACCAAACAGGAGAAGAGGCGCCTGAATTGCCGCCGGGTCTGGATGCCGCTGGAGGGTGCGGGGGGGACTGCTGCTAACACGGAGGCCAGCTCCAAGCGAGCATCCAGCGGCACCTGAGCCAGAGACGCGGCCGTATGGAGTTAGGCAAAGGGCCCACGATAACTAGAGCTGCTGGAGGGGCTGTCACCAGGCCAGGCAGGGCCAGGAAGTCTCCTGTGCTCGGGCTTTAGCTAGCGAGGAGGCCGGGACTCTCCCCAGCATTTCGGGGCTAGCCAGGGCCTTCCTACACCGGCTCCTCCGGCCCCTGCTTCCTTTTGCCCTTGTCCCAATCGGGGGGCATGGAGTTGCCAACAGCTCCCAGCTGCCACGGGGTCTATAGGGAATGGGTGAGGATGGGCGAGGGCTTTCCCCCTCCTTTTATAAGCCCGTGGATGGGAGCTGGAAGGCACGGAGGGGCCGCGCTCGGAGGGCATTTGCTTGGGGCAAGACGGTCGGTATTCATGGGAGAAGCAGGGCTTGCGAGGCTTTCGCTGGGAGAGACGGGACAAGAGCTTCCAGGCTCCACGCGCCTCCCCCAGGCCTGCCGGGAAGCCCTTCGGTCCGAGTTAGACAATCGCCTTGATCTGGCAAGGGCCGGGACTCTGCGCAGGGTGCCCAGCAGAGAGGAGACAAGACCGATCCTCGCCAGCCCTGCTTCTCTCATGCCCGCAAGACCATGGTGGCTACTGCGGGGCTAGCACGGTGGCTCGGCTCGTGATCTTGTCGCCTTCCTGGAGAGCGCTGGGCCCGTTATATCACGCAGGCCCCGGATGCCGCCGGGAGAGGTGGGGGCACTGCAGCCTGCCCCCATTGCACAGCGCTTGGGGAGACGCCAGCCACCCCATGACTTGAGCTGAGTCCCCCCCCGCCCCCCGCCATATTACATCAGGATCGGGCTCCGTCTGTGGCAAGAACGGCCCCGGCAGCTGGATGTATCCCGTGGGCCTGATCCTGGACTGGTTTAACACCGCCGCCGAGCTTAGCAGGCGCCCTGACGGACATCGCCACCCCAAGGTCCGTGACGAGGGGCGCTCACATCCTTACACCTTTACTCTCACCCTTTCCCCGGCCGGCCCCATTGCCTCCTCTCGGCCGGATCCATCCCCGCAGGCCTCCCACTGGGGAAGGAGCGCTGCTACCTGGCCCGAGCGCCATCCTTTGCATGCGGCTGTGCATTTGATGCTTCCCGAATGCCCTCCCCTCCGCCCCCCACCAGGCACCCGAAGCAGGAGAGAGCCGGGCAGTGCCCGCGGCTGGCCATACTCACCCCGGGGCGGCTCAGTGGGAGGCTGACATGGACCAGGCCCCCTCCATCCTCCAGACGGAGAAGGCGTAGCTGAGGCGCTCGTGGGCCAGGTAGTTGCAGCTGGCGATCTTGTGGTCCAGCTCGTCGCTCTGCAGCACCTGGTAGAGGAAGTCGATGTAGCGGGCAGCCAGCTTGAGGGTCTGGATCTTGCTGAGCTTGTCGGAGGGCAGCGTGGGGATGATCTTGCGCAGCTCGGCGAAGGCGTCGTTGAGGGACTGGGTGCGCTGCCTCTCCCGCACGTTGGCGATGACCCGCTGGGTGTGCGCGTCCTCGAAGGACGGCGGCACGGGGCTGCGCTTGCTGCGCTTGCCCTGGGGCGACGGGGCTCCGCGCTCCTCTGCCGCCTGGCTCAGCTGCCCCCGCTTACGGAGGCCTTTCTTGGGCGGCCGCTCGCCCTCCTCCTCGCTGCTGGCCGCGCTGCCTTCGGGGGACTCCGGGCACATGCTCTCCTCTTTCATCTCGCCCCGGCCGCTCTCACCTGGTGGGCGACGGGGTCCCGGGCCTCGCAGGACCTCACCGGCTTGCTACCACCGCTGGGCATCGGGCGAGCCCGCCAAGCCCCACCGGCTCCGGGCGCGCCGTGTCCCCCGTGCCGAGCGTCTTCCGGAGCCTCCCCAAACTTCAAGGATCTGGGTCCGTTGTGCCTTTGGGCGTCGGAGAGGAGGGACGTTCGAATAAACTCGGTGGATATCTTTTGCTGATAGGGCAGGGAGGGCCGGGGGAGGGGCCGGGCGCAGACCAATGCAGCCGTGCACGGTAAATGCAAACATCAGAGGAGCTTATGGGTTCCAGATTTCCTCCTTCCCTCCCCCACCAGCACACCCCAAGCCCGTAGGCACAGATGCTCCTGCCTGCCGCCCGGACGTCGGGGGCAGCTCCCTGGGCTCCGGGGGGAAGAAGCGTCTCGGCGCCCCCGGCCCCGCGCCAATAGGGCGCCAACCTGCGCCCGCCCGACTCCGACTTGCATCCAAGTCTCTCACCTGCAACGGATGGGACTGGAAACATGGAGCAGCGTTGGTTGCCTCCGGCCGGGAGGCCCTTTCTCCAAGTCCAAGGGTGGATGCGGTGGCTTCAGGAGAACGCCCAGTCTCCCAGGGCAGGAGCGGCAGCTCCTTGGAAGGACACGTTAGCAAAGAGACCATCAAGCCCAAGAGCTATAAGGATGCATTCGGGAAGACGTGCTGCTGGCCAAGGGCACGGCAGGTACCTGCTTCGCACCTGCACCCGGTCTAGGGCGGGTGACTCCAGCTGGCCTCCGGGTGAGCCGAAGCAGGCTCCTGGGCTTGTAGTGGGACCCACTGAGCACTTCTACCTGGACTTTATACTCCTCTCCCCTGGGGTGAACGTCACCTAGAGCCGTGGGGCTGGAAGAGGCCTGCAGAGGTCACATCTAGTCCACCCCCCTGCCCAACACGGGATCGGCCCTGTCCAAACCACCCCAGGCCCATCCGTCATCTGACCTCTTAGCAAAATGACTGTCACCCCCCGACACAACACGAGACACCGCACCCCAACCTGCCCCCGGGAAAGCAAGGGGGACCGCAATGTCCTGCTGCTAGAAATGGGTGCTATTAATATACACTCCAGAGATCTCCGGTACAGGCCGTGCCCCCGCTACAGGGAAGGGCCAAACCCTATGACCCATACTGATGTGCCCGTGGAGAGGGTCCTTCACTAGTAGAAGGAGGGGGAGATTTGCACCTTCTAGACTAACCAAAGTAGATAGGAGATATAGGTAGTAGCAGCTTTCATAGTCTGAAGCTCACACGTTGCTAACCCACCTCCATGCAACCCAGCTGGTAACAGCCTTACCCACCCGTCACCCCTGAGGAAGCCCATTGGGACCCGGGGGGAAGTTGCTGCTATGCCGGCGCTCAGCTACTGGGAGAGAAGGGAGCTGGTCATCTCTGGTGCCCAAAGGCAAGGCCCAGGGTTTCTAGGGCTTCACTTGGTGCAGTGAAGTCTAGAGCCAAGGCCCTCAAAGCTCTGGTTGGAATCAATGAGCCCAAGTGAATTAGGAGCAGTACACAGACACTCGGTCGCCCAGCCAGGGGCACAGTCAGCTCAGTGCAAGGAGCACTAGAGCCATGGGGGCACGTTTGGAGCTGCCTTGGGGGTGCAAAGCTGGTGTCTGTAATGCCCATGAGCCGGTTGGAAGCCAGATATTTCAGAGGGGAGTCATCTGCATGGACCCGACATCACAGTGACACGGTGCCCCATCTCACGGCAGCGTGGGCACGTGCCCCCTGCAAGGCGGGTTCCAGGAGCACTGCGTGTCCCCGGGCGGCCTGCCATGGAGGGAGACATTGCAGCGCTGGCAGGCTGGGATGCCCAGTTGCAGGGCGTGGACAGCGGGGGGTCCTGGGCCCCTGCCCTGTCCTGCAGGGGGTAGACCTTTGTGCAGCTCCTCGGTGCCATGCTGATGGGCAGAGCCCCCACATTGACCTGGGCACAGAGTCCGTCCGGGATGGGTTGGGCCCGCGGTGCATCTTGCTGATCTCTGCGTGGGCTCTGCCAGCCCCTGTCAATGGCAGCAGAGCAGGGAGAGGGGGAGGCTGTCCCCAGCCTTGTGGCTCTGCTGTCCCGGGACTTTCCCGGCAGGAGTCTCGTGTCCTTTCCCCTTGGTCAGTCTGTGCTTTTCCTCGGCTTCCCTCCATGCTTTGGGACACGCAGGAGACCCCCCCGGTCCCCCATGCCCCAGCACCAGTGATACGTGATCCCGTGGCTGGACCCTGTGGTGTTGCTCAAGGGCTCCATGTGGAGGCACATTTGTGGCTCCCGACAGGTCTGTGGTGCTGATGTCCTGCAAACCCCTCCGAAATGTCCCTGGCTGGGACCTCGGGGCAGCAGCTTTGCATCCCTCCCCCACCGTGGCCTCCCGGGAGCCACGGCCACAACCACGGCCCGCTCCGAGGGGAGGCCGGGCTGGAAGCGCCAGGGCACGTGTGGTCGTGAGCCTTGTGTCTCCTTCCCATCCCAGCCCGGAGTCATGGCAAGGCAGAAATAACCACCTCCCAGCTGTGGTCCAGGCAGACGTACTGCAAGCCCCAAACAGCCCTGGCGTGGATGCCCACCTGACCCCCCCCAGGCGCCCTGCGTGTACATGCCTACACACCCCTTGTGTGCACGAGGGCCCGTGGCCCAGGTCCCAGCCAGCTGACTGGGGATGCGGCCAGCTCAGGGTGCGCTGTGCACAGTGGGACCATTGGGGACTGGGGACCTACCTGTCCCTCCTGCCCCAACACCCGCCTGCTGCCAGCTGCCCTCATGGGGTGCGTGCACATCTGGGACAAGCCAGCTGACATCCACGTGCGCGTGTTCCCAGCCCTCGGCCAGATCCCAGCCCTTGCTGAACCTGTAGTACGCCTGTTGGAGCGCACCGGTTTTCACACGTACATAAAGAACGAGATGGTGTGTTCATACCTCCCATGAAGACCCCTGGGGCTGGCATCAGACCAGAGGCCTTGTCCCTGCTACCCACCGCTCGGAGGACAGCTCAAGCCCTCAAAATCTTTTCGCTGCAGACTTAGCAGACCTGCCTAGCTCGGAGGGTCACGACAACATAACCAAGGTCCCAGTCCCCGGGAGGCAGAGCCCTTAACCATGGTGGTTTTTAACCCCCAAGGCCTGGAAAGACCCTGCCCAAGATGCTCCGGGAAGACTGCAAGGCACAGAACCGCTTTGCAAATAGCTTCTTGCTCTTGGGTAGAGTCACCGGAAAGCCAGGCTAGCGGGGCTCTCTGGAGGTAATGCCCAGTCCCGAGAAGGATTGTGCCCTTCCAAACCATCCCGACGCACCCTTGCCTGGCCTCTTCCTAAAACCCCGAGGTGCATTGCCCAAGGACACCAAGAGGACTTCAAGGTACAAGGGCCATCAGCGGCCTGCGTGGTTGTTAAATATGCTTGAGAAATCCAAGAAAGAGGGCACTGGTCCCTTCCTATAAAGGCAGCCCTCCCTGCACCCCCCACCCCAATCTGTACCAGGGGGTAAAGCTCCTTCCTGACCAAAATACAGTAACTGGTGTGACCCCAAGTAGACACAGCCCGTCCCAGACAAAATCCCCGGCCTTGGTGGCAGCCAACACCGAGAAAGGCAGTAAAGAAACCCTGACACTGGTAGCAAGAGGAAGGGGAACAGATTCCTTCCCAGCCCCATAGGGCAACCAGCAACACCCAGAAACCTGGGAAAACCAAGCATCCTCCGCTTGGTTCTGCAATGTAGGGACAGCGAACTCCCTGCTGCTTTTTTGTTCATCCCTTTCCCTCCAAAAACCTATGCCAACCCCTTTCAATCCTCCTTTATAACTAAGCAGAGTGGAGAGCTCTGCTTCACCTTCCTCCTCTCTCCCGAAAAGTGATCATCCCCTTGTAGACCCATGGGCCAGAGCTGGGATGTACTGGGCTGCGGCTTTCCAGTGAGGTGAGCCAGCAGGTTGTGAAAGGGAAAGCAGATGACGCCAAGCTTTGGGGAGTAGTAGATACATTTGGAGGGTCGGGAGAGCTCCACACATTGGAGGATTGGGTCAAAAGGAGTCTCCTGAGGTTTGGCAAGGACAAGCGCAAAGTCCTGTGCTTAGGACGGAGCAATCCCATGCACCGGGACAGGCTGGAGGATGGCTGGGTGGGCAGCAGGTCTGCAGAAAAGGACCTGGGGGTGACAGGGGACAAGAAGCTGAATAGGAGCCAGCAGTGTGCCCTTGGTGCCAAGAAGGCTAAGGGCATCCTGGGCTGCACTGGTAGGAGCGGTGCCAGCAGATCAAGGGCAGTGACTCTTCCCCTCTATTCAGCACAGAAGAGGCCACATCTGGAGTCCAGTTTGGGCCCCCCACTACAGAAAGGATGTGGACAAATTGGACAGAGTCCAGGAGAGCAATGAAATGGTTTGGGGGTTGGGGGACATGACTGGTGAGGAGCCATCAACTCCCTGCAGGGGGGTTGCAAAGAGGACGGAGCTGGACCGTTCTAAGCAGGACCAGATGCCAGAACAAGGAGCAATGGGCTCCAGTTGCAGCAAGGGAAGTTGAGGTTAGATATTAGAAGAAGCTTTCTCACGAAGCGGGCGGTGAAGAGCTGAAACAGGCTCCCCAGAGAGGTGGTGGAGTCTCCATCCTTGGAGGCTTTTAAGACAAAGCCTTGGCTGGGATGATCTAGTTGGGGCTGGTCCTGCTCGGAGCAGGGGGTTGGCCTAGATGGGACCTCCCAAGGCCCCGTCCAACCCTTATGTTCTCCAAGTCTCTGATTCTCTCCCGCAAGGCAAGCAGTGTCCGTATGCACCCAAGGAGAGTGCCGCAGGACACATACAGACCCCAGGGTCGTCTCCAACCCCCACCCAAGCTGGGGTGGCGGCATGGGATCTGGCGACTGGGGCACGAGCTGCTAACTGGTTGCTGACCCCTGTGCCTGGGGCAGGGGCAGGAGGATGGGCAGGTGACAGAGCCCACCCCAGAGCTTCGTTGCAATCACCGCCTCCCTGACGCAAAAAGCAGCTGGCCTGTGGCCTCTGCAAAGGCGGCATGGTCCGGGCACAGCTCTACCACGTCACCGCGGGCTCATCCCTCTGTCAGCCGCAGGCCTCCCTTCCCGCGTGGCGAAGAGGGACAATGGGGACAACGGGGGGGTCCCATGCACTAGAGGACGG